AATATCTACCTCTCATCCTATAATCTCTTATGCACCATAATTTATCCTCGTATGTCCCAAATGTTTATTACAGAAACACTATAATAGATGTCAATAGTTACATTAGAGCATTAGATATCTCTGAAGGACATATTGTGAAAGGAAATATTCAGTCTAAGGATTCGTATATTTACAACTCTGATGAGCTAGAGCCAGATTCACCTTAGAAAGAACTTTTTAACTCCCAGCAAAAACATGGATGTTCATTCTTCCACATCTTCAGCAACACACACTAGGTATTTTTCTGTTGTCGTTATGTGTGTGGTACCTGTGATTGACGCCAGGCCCTTACAGATGCTAGCCAAGCACTCTATCACTGTGCTGTACTCAAAGCCCCAAACACTTTCATGAAAAAAGTTCAGTTATTTTAATATGTGGGAAGATTTTTCACTTGAATTTGTGTGATTCAGGTCATGTATTTTTCCTTATATTTTTGTTCCCTTTTCTACTCAACTGTTTGCTGCTTCTTGATTTCTAATAATTAAATGTTACAGGTTTTTTATATTGAAAATATTTTAAAGTATGTGTATTGGTGCCTTACTATGTATATCGTGTGTGTGTATACGTATTATATGAATGAATGCATATCATAACATCACATACAAATCTGTCAAATATTTTCCTTGACCTTTGGCTTTATGTCATAGAGAAAATGTTTCTAAACCAAAAATTTGAGTGACTTCCTACATTATTTCTTGGTATTTTTACAGTTTTCCCCAAACTTTTAGTAATCTTTTCCTAATATTCATATTGAAAAGGTCATTCTTTCCTCAGTGATTTGAAATGCTACTTTATGTTACAAATTTCCAAAATTCTGTCTTTTAAGGTAGTATTCTTCCCAAAGATCTCTGGTTATTTAATTTTTAAAGGTTTCATTACTGTATCTTTGAGCCATTTGTTCTGCTACAGTGCTATGTCTGTCTTACTCTAGTATCTCATTGGTTTAAGTATGACAGTTTAACCGCAAAAATGTCGGCCTAGAGTGACACTTATAATGGATAATAGGATGTTTGATGCAGTATTATTTGAAGTATCAAAACACTCGAGTCAACCTTAAAGGATACTGATTGTGATTTGGCAAAATAAAATGTAGTATTGTGTCCTATCTTGCTAGTTAAAACAATGTCACTGTGAAAGAAATCAGAATTCTATGAATAGACACAAAGATATTGAAGGCAATCTGTTAAATAAAAACAGTTGCAAAACATAACCTATAGTGACACCATATCTGTACAAAGAAAAACACAAAACATTTTATATACATCCATACACATTTTTAAGACAGATATAAAATTTAGTGATCTAGAAGGAAATAGAGCAAAGTGTAAAGGGTGATTAGGGACAGAAAAATAACAGGGTGGTAAGAAAAGGAAAACTGAAGTTACTGTAGAATATAAACTGCTTACAAGACTGTATGTACATATTATGTGTCTACAAATTTATAAGATACACATATCCTAATTTTTCAGTTAATCACCATTGCATATTGTATACTTTGTGGGTATACCACTCTGACTCGTTTCCCTTCCTTTTTCTAGGCTTTGCCCATCCTTCGAGGTCCAGGTCTTTTTCCTCTTTGAGGCTTTCTCTCTTTCAGGTCATCCCGGTCTGTGCTTTCCCTGAGCTCCAACAGACTAAAATGCATACCTCCCTACCTTTGGCCCTTAATTATTCTCTAAATGACCTCATGTAAATGGATTTTGTGCCTTCTAATTTCTCTTCCACCAGGGAAATGCCTTTCTCTGAAACCCAGCTTTAAGGAGAAAAATAAGAAGCAAAATATAGAGACTCCATGAGAAAACATTGCTATCAAGAGACTGAAAAATTTTCCTTCACCTCTTCATGGCAAACAATAGGCCATTTGGGATTCAGACTCCAAATACTAATCTTTTGTGTTGGCAAATATTTCTCACAAATGACTGAGAAGAACAACTGCAACAGTTTGTTGGAACAAACCTTGAATTGGACATTATCAGTTACATTTATATCAATTTTCTCTTTTGGATCTTGGAGCATTTCTTTTAACAGATTTTTTTTAGTCCGAACAAGGAATCATATAAAAACTATTAGCAGACTGAATATGTTGTGTGTGATCTGCTAGTTAATATTATAGCTCCTAGAAATTTCCTTATAAACATGGTAATAAACTTAAAGCTTTTCTAGATTGTTAGGACAAGCCAAAGTCATACAGAATTCAGTTCTAGTAGTAACTGCTGCTTCTGGAAAATGAGGAGAGAAACCAACAGTATTAATGTTTTTACAATTCCAAAAAGAAGTACAAGTGTACATACAGAATCCACCAAAAATGTATACACACTTCAGGAAAAGAAAATTAGCAAGATGTTTTTCCAACAGATGGTGCTACTCTGGTATGTGGGACCCTTGAGGATGTTGCATACTGTGGAAAACACACTACACTCCTGGCCCTTAGAGAAGGAATTCAAAGTGCATGTGCAGCAATCTCAATGACTAAGGTTACCCAAGCAGCAGTTTGTGATACTAATAAATGTTTGGAAGCTAATGGCCACCACTGTGAGCACCTCTTATAAATGTAGAGGTCAAAGGTAACTTGTATCAATCTCATGATGTCTCAGTAAATTTAATATTAAAATATTTATACAAGTTTTTTTCCTGAAGTGTGTATACTTTTCTTGGCAGACTCTATATAAAACAGAATGTGCCAGGATGAATAGAGCCTTAATTATTAAAGCAAACAATTATGTGCTAGACACTTTCCAGTGTACTTTAAATGTAACCCCTTCAATGAACCTATAAAGGAACTACTATTACTATCAATTCTATTTTAGAAAGAAGGAAACTTACATAGAAAGTAAGTGTCATGCCTAGGATCCTATAGTAAGTGGCAGAACTAGGATTTAAATTTAGCACATCAGTGTTTGCCCTCAATCACCAAACTATGCTGCATATGGAATGTCCTAAAGGAAAACAAACATAATATTGAGATTTGTGGTACTACTATAGAGTACCAATTTCAGTATTATTTATTAAGGGTTGTAAGATTACACAGCCCTCTGTTGTTTATTCATTTTCTATACTGGAAGCAGCAATGCATTTAGCTCCATCTTTCCCTTCTCAGAATTTAAAGTACTTTCCCAGATAGGGGCTTATTAATCTTTAAGCTAGAAAGCTTATATGGTATTATCTCATTTGAGAAATAAGGCCTAGAGGAGGAAGGTACTTACCCAAGATTCTGTAATCAAGGATGGTTCTGCAATCAGGATCAGATCTCCTGATCCTTACTGTATGGCAAACTTAGCTTTTCTGATGGTGTCCTAGAAGGTCAAGCAAAAGGACAGAAAAGAACATAAAAAGATATGAAATAATGGTGTTCTTCTCCATCAGTCAATGCAATTTTATTATACACAAAGGATGCCAGGGCTGATAAATAATAATATACAAGTGTCATTTTTTTCTTGTGGATATAGTTTCAAATTCACTTTATTGTACATTTATCTAATTTTTGAAAAAGATACTTCTATTATGGATAATTTCAAATGGATAAAAATGTAGAGGGAATAGTATTACAAACCCAGTGGAATCCATCAACCAGCTTCAACAATTACCAACTGAAGGCCATCTTGTTTCATCTGTAACCCCCCCCACTGCTCCCCCCCCCCCGATTTTTTTAAGCTCACCAAATAGCCGACTTCTATATTATGGAAAATTTCTAACATATACTAAAGAAAACAGATGACTATAAGGAACCTCATCTGCCTATCATTCAGCATAAACCGTGATTAATTTAAGGGCCCTAATTTTATTTTATTTATATCCCTCATTTCTCCCTACCGCTAAAATTATTTTGAAGCAAATCCTAGTCAGCGTATTTTGAAGTCAACCCCAGGAATTATTCAATCTATAAGCATTTAATATAGTTCCACAAATAAAAGGCAATTTGAAGACATAATCACAATATGACTGCAACGTCTAAAAATGACATCAAATCCTTAAATATCATCAAATATCGAATCCGCGCTCAAATTTTCCTGATGAACCTTAGATTTTTAGTTGCCCTGTTCGCATCAGGATCCAAACAAGGCCTACTCATCGCATGTGGTTCATCTCCAGCTCGCTCTCCATCCCCCCCCCCTTTTAACTTTTCAGTACGGGGAAATTCCAATCCCCGCTATTTTGAGGTGATTTTCAGGTAATAAATTATTTCACCGGTCAAGGTTAACATTTTTATCCTTAATTTCTTCTAGGGATGTTGCTATACAGAAAAGGCACTATAATGAGCGCATTTACGCAATTTATAATTTTTCTCATTTTGTTATGAGAACATTTACCCCCATTAACAATAGCTAATATCTGTAGAAGCCCGGCTTCATATTAAGTGCCTTATACGCACTATTATACAGTACACGTCTCTGAGGTAAATACTATTATCACCATTTTACAAACATGGAAACCGAGACACAGAAAGAACACAGCCTTGCCCAAGCTGGGCGTTGGCGAGCAGGAGCACAAATCCAGCTCTGGCCGACTATAAAGCCACGAATGAGCCCAATCTATACACACGACGAAAAGAGGAAATCATCGACCCTTTCTCCCCACCCCCACCCCGAAACCTGAAACGAGAATCCAGCTCTTTCCAGTAGGACGTGTGATCACTGCCGTCCCTCCAACCGCCATAGTGAAGCCAGGTTTCTCTGGCAACTGATATCCATAGGCAGACACGTCACCCTGGAGGCGGGCTTAAACACTTCAGCCAATCAGAATCGTCTTCTATGAGTTTTAGAATGTTCTATAATCAGATGATTGGATCAGTACTCCCACGTCAGCAGTGACACTTCGCCGCAGTAAAGGCGGGTGCTAGCAACCTGCTTCTTCATGGTTAAGGTCCACAACAAACCAATCACCTTCCGTCTTTGCTGCGGATTCTGGCCAATGACGTTTGTCCTCTTAGGTTCTTAGCCCGTCCTCCCAAAGCGCGACAGCCGTTGGGTCATAAGTCTATAGGGCAGAGTGTTTCACGTGGCCTCTTTTTACGACCTAGAGTTCCCCTGACCAGAGGGACTTTTTTCTCTCTTTCTCTCTCTCTCTCTCCTCTCTCGCTTCTGCAGGGAGGGATTATGGGTTTGTAGGTTCCTCCCCATGAGAAAGGAAGTGTCTACGTGGCCTGCTGAAATAGGATAGGCGGAAATGAGCTAAGGTTCCCGCGAGTGGTGAAGCGCGAGGTCAACTCTAAGGCCACGCCCCCGAGGCTGTTGCGCAACTTTCGGAGAAGGACGAAAAAGGCTCGCTGGAGGTTTCGATGTTTGTGCGAGTGGGGGTGGTGAGTGTCGCGGGCGAATGGCGTTAGGGCCAGGATGTACTTGGGCGGCCAAGCTCGCGCAGCCATGGGATTGGAGTGTAAACGCGCACCACCCGTGGCGCCGGAGGTAGTGGGTGTGCGCAGGCGTGCGCTCCTGGCTTTAGGGTGTATGAGGGTGTGCGCGCGCACGAGAGAGCGAGCGTGCCTGTGTGCGCGCGCGCGCAGACCTAAATTGGTTGTTTTCTCTTTTTATGTGTAGTTGAAAACCTTTAACGATAAGGAAAATAAGGCAAAGTGACCGTAACAGAAATAAATGACTTTTGTTAGAAATATTTCGGCCTTTCCTACTGATGTTAAACCCTAAAACTACTTTTTCCCACGTTTTTCTCTGTGCCAAGATCCCGTTCTAAATTGCAGCCTTCCATTGCTTTAAGAGCCTACACTCTCCTCATTCCTACATTAGCAATTCTAAGGGAGCCGTGGCTTTCAGCGTCCTTTTGGAGAAATATTTTCTAATGAGAATCCTGACTTACTCTCCTCTAGGGACTCCCCAGATTTTTGCGCGGACTGACGCTCTCATCTTTCGTCCTGATCTCCAAGCCCCTGCCCTTCTTCAGGCAACTACGCACTTAATTTTCCAGAAAGTTCTGTGGTTGGTTTATACATCTTGAGTTTACCACTAGATGCCGCCAAATTCCAGCAAAGTATTCGCCGGGGTTTTTTTTGTTTGTTTGTTTTGTTTTTTCCCTTCCGGTAACAGGAATAGAACTCAGGACCTTGCGCTTTAGGGGCAGGTGGCCGAGCCTCATCCCCAGCAGCTGTTCTTGTAATTATGACCTTTTGCCCCCCATTTGTTAAATTCTCCAGATAATCTGGGAATCCAGTTGTTTTTGCATTCCTGGGGAAAAATAAAACTGACTTCTGTAAATAACCCTGTTAGGCGGAGGAGTAAAAACAATACAATTCAAATATTCTTGCTATTTACTTCTTGGGGGGGGCGGGGATCGAACTCCGGTTCTTGCAGGCATGGCAACACTGAGCTAAATCCCTGGTATTTCCTTTTCTTAGAAAAAAAAATGTTCTCTAGCATCCCTTTCTTCATTATTCCTTGGATTTTTATAGTCACAGAGTTGACGACCCTAGCTACTGAACTGATGAAGATCTTTTGCACACTTTATTTTGAAATACTCAGAATTCTCCCCAAATAAAATTCAGTACAGACGATTAGTAGCTCAGTAAAGATAACTCAGAGGTTAAAGTTAGATTCTGGTATTGAAAACCAATTTTTTTTTTTTTGTTTTTTGGTACCGGGGATCGAACTCGGGCCCTTGATGTTGCAAGGCAGGCAGCGGAACCACTGAGCCAAATCCGCAGCCCAAAAACTAATTTCTTTCCTTTAAAAAATGTTAACACATATGTATGTATTTGCACCTAATTTTCTGTAGTGTACCGCTAACCTTTATTATGTCTTCAATGTTAGAAACTTAATTATAAATCCTATTTCACTACTTACTAGCTCTGTGATCCTGGGCAAATTTATATTGTGATTCTCACTTTTTCATGCTTACTATATTTTAGATGCTGTTCCATGTGCCGTCACACAGATATTCCTTTTTTTTTCCACAAAAAATTTATTAGATTGGTACTACTATATTAAAATCAGTAGAAATCAGACTTTACAGTTATGAATCATACATAGGTCTATATACAAGGTGAGGAATTTTTAGATTAGTAGCTCTCAAAGTGTTTTCCTAGATAGACCAAAAGCATGGGCACCACCTAGGAAGTTGTCAGAAATTCAGATTCTCAGGTCCCACCTCAAACCTAATCATAAATTCTTGGGTGGGGTTTGGTAATCTGTGTTGCTACAAACTACTCCCTGTGAATCTAATGCATGCTGAAGTTTGAAAACCATTGCTTGAACAGAAATGCAATGTTTTTCTTTGTACATACCACTAGAGGGTGCCACAGAATATAAAGCAAAATCATAAATGATGTATATGTTCTGAGACACCCTGCATCTCATTGGTCTTGTACAGATTAAGAACTGATGTTTAGAGGTGTCAAGCTATTTTTCCAAGTGCACACAACAAGTATGGGAACCAGGATTATTTCTTGCTTGTTCAACCATAAAGGCTTATCTTTTAGAGCCTTAAAATACTGTACATTTATAGATATCCTGTTCTCTGCTTTGGCTAATGTTGTAATATCAAGAAGAGTACAGAAAAGCAAACCAAATAAATGGGAATATGTTGATTTTCATACCCTTCCTCTTTTCCGTTCTATAATACAATATTACATGAGTATTCCCCTTTTTGCTTCTTTATTTTTCATTGCTCTCAACTCTTCAGCTCCCTTTTTCAGTTTATATCTGAATTTATTATTGTGATGGGTGAATCAGAGTGGTGAGGAAACAGACTTGTTGAAAACCTATTATGAAATATACTATATTGCTGTATACCCATTAATCCTAATAAACGTGTATGTTAGGTGATAGTCATTTTATAGATGACAAAAGTGAGTATATAATCTGTAATTATTTTTGTTTGCACATCTGACTTGTAAGTAATAAAGCTTGGATAATTCCTGGTATAGCTGACTCTATTATCCTACTAAACTTTCCAGACCTGTGTTTTGAGTTTGGTAAGCCTTTTACTATTTAAGTGACTTTTTTTTTCCCAGTACTGGGAATCAAACTTAGGTCCTTGCACATGCCAGGCAGGCGTGGAACCACTGAGCTACATCCCTGGCCCTATTTAAGTGACTTAACAATTTCTCTAACTTTCCCAGGCCTCAGTGTTCCCATATATTGTATTAAGTGGAAAGAGGTATTTATGCTTTACAATTTAGAGGCACACTAATACAGTATCCACTAGCACATGTAGCTTTTAAATTTTAATTGAAATTAAGTAAATTTTTTAAAAATTCAGTTCTCACAAGGACTCTAGTTCGATCCCCGGTACCAAAAAAAAAAAAAGAAAAAGAAAAAGAAAAAAAAATTCAGTTCTTAGTGGTACCAGCCACATTTCAAGGGCTTAGCAGCTATAGTACTTATGGCTAACAGCTACTCCAGTAATACAGATAAAAACATTCTCACCATCACAGAAAAATCCTACTAGATAGTGCTTATTGAGAGATCATAAGGTGTGTAAAAGGGCATAGTATACTGCGTGTCTCATAGTAGATTCCCAAGAATAGTGATTTCCTTTGCTGTTTCATTTCAGCATCAGAACTATGAGTATTCTGTTTTAATGATGGAATTAGGAGAGAGGAGTAACTAACCCAAGGTGCTATAACAAGGAATCCACATCTCCTGACTGTTACTCCAATATTCTCTCTAGTAAAACCCATTCTTATGCTTTACTGAGATTTTAAGGCTAAGGGCACGAATACTGTCAATTAGTTTTGGATTCAGAGTGGTAGGAGAACAAGACATAGGAACTGAGCACTTCCTATGTGCCAGGCAGCAAAGTGCTTAGGTTTTAAAGTCTGGTACCTCTCTAAATCTTCACAGAAGTGCAGAGAAATTAACACAAAGTTGCTCAGCAAGTAAACAGCAGAGCAAGGATTCAGACTTCTCTCTGACTTTAATGCCCAGCCCCTTTCCTCTTATGTCTTGCTATCCGTTCAATATGAATCGCTGTGAATATCCCCTGCCATCTATGCTTACTAGTGGAATAAGACTTCAGCAGATTCCTGACTTACAGTGAGTTCTCTGAAAATGTGAGGTACTCTTTAGAATTTATACCCAAAGCATTGTCTTTACAATCTGTTTCAGTTGGAAGGGAAAAATAGTTTAGGTTTGTTTGGTTTCAAGGCACAAGGCCAAATAGAAACTACGGCCCCAACCTTCACAGGACACCTAGTGGCTCCAGGAACCTTATGTTGATTTGCAAGGCAACCATTAACTTACACAGTGCGATAGTGTTGATTAGAAACACATGGCACCTAGGGGCGGACAAATTGTTGAGAAGTGTCCACTCCAGTGGAACAATGAGTAAAGTGTTTTTTCCCCCTCCGTGGCTTCTATAATCTCACCAGGGCAATTGGAAAATAAATTTCAGCCCATACGTGTGCTCTCTCAGTTGAGTACTATTCTGTAGGACACAACTAGCCTGACACTGTTTGCTGGCCTTGTCTTACTTTGTGGCTAAGAGAGCTATCCTAAGTCTAGAATGTATTACTTAGACTGTTCTGGAGAGTGTAGAGAGACATTAGTGTCCTCTCATGGCTTTTGGGTAGTGGTTGAAAATTGGCCTATTGTAAGGTATATCTGATATTTTAAAAATGTGTTTCTGACTGGCAAATTGGATTTTTATAAGATAGTGTTTGCTTAATGTGTTAAAAATCCTAACATTTCAAGGCTAAGAAAAATGGTATTTCTGTATTGAGGGTATCTTACTGAGTGTTCATACATGCTTCACTTCATAGGAATTTCATAAAACCAGTCCAGAAAGTTAGTATAGATCAATCTAGCTTGCTAATATGTAATAGACAGCAAAAATTGGAAAAGATCATGAAAAAGTTTTATCTTTTTAGGAGTATCTATTCTCTTCTTGATAATTAACCCCTGCCCCATGACTGACCCATCATTTGATATAAACAGGTTTTTTCCAAGTGTCTGAAAACATTGAAAAACTGAACCTAATTAATGAAGTCCTTGGGTGACACTGGAATGCCAGATTTAAGCATTTTCTTTTATTTTCCCCTTTCTAAGTCGATAGTTTAGCATACAGTTTGCCAGATTCGTGGTTTTGTGAATGACACATTTCACTTGGAATCATCATATAAAGTTCTCCATGTTCTACATCAATGAAGCGATGACAACTGATTTCCACCTGTGTTTGCTGATGCCTATAATCTAAGCTTTACCTCAAGAAGATGCTTTGAGCCTTTTCCAAGAGGTAAGTTCATTTATGCTTATAATTTCTACCTGTGGCCCCAGTTCACTGAAGATGATAAAAACTATGGCTTCTGAAAATGTAAGCTGTCTTATTACTTTTAAAAAGGACAACAGTAATACTTGAATTTCTATGTCTAAATTATTAAAGCATAATGATGGGCATATAGGGGTTCATTATACTATTTTTTTCTACAGTGTGTATCTTTGAATGTTTCTATAGCAAAATAACTTTAAAAGTAGAAGAAAATTTAAACAATTGCTTTATAAATCCTGGGGCAAAGAATATCCCTGGGTTTCTCTTAATACTTAATACTCTTAGAAGAGTACTTATTAGCCAAGGGGTTGGGTGAAATATAGCCATTCGGTAAAGATGGACCATGTGGAAAATTTGGGAAGTGAGGAGTTTAGATGTTTAAAGCATCATTGGCAGAAATTCTGTGAAGATTTCCCAGAGGGGGAATCTCCTCCTGCCTGTAGTCGCCCTTCATTGGAACCCATAGGAAACACCACTGTAATGAGCTACTGTTAGTGAAAGAAGTGTCTCCTATCCCTTGGGCATTTAGGACTGTAGAGATGTTGAAAACCATAGAAAGGCCTCGGTTAATGGATGAAAACCATGTTAGTGAGCAAGCAGAAAAGCACAAGCAAAGGGAATCTGGAGATAAGAGACAGAACTAGGACTATAAAGGAGCTTCATATATACCCCTCACCAGGGAACAGAATACATGACAGAGGCCCTCACTCAAGACCTTCTGAATATTCTTTTCATTTTTTAGACAGGGTCTTGCTGTATAATTCATGCTGACCTTGAACTCGCCGTATAGCTTAGGTGGGCCTCAAACTTGTGGCGATTCTCCTGCCTCAGCCTCCTGAGTGCTGGGATTACAGGAGTGTACCACCACATGCCCCATCTGCTATGTCAGTTTTAAAACAGTGGGAAAGCCATCTGAAAAACAAAAGCCATGTATGTGTGTACACATGCACACACACACACACACACACATTTAAAGACATGGAACTTGACCGTTCAGTTTGCAAAGACAGGTCACAAAGTACACATTGAAATTACGTGGGATTTTTTTTTTGCTACTTTGTTTTTAATGTTTTTATTATGTGACTAAGTAAATGAGGGCTATTTGTATATTGCCAAGAGTAAGCAGATATGGTTGGAGATGGGGACACTGTTCAGAGGATGGGGACCTCAGAGAACATGTTCTTTCAAGGCTCTGAGTTTGAGACAAAATGGTTCAAAATTGAGGACAGAGAAAGAGAGCAAGAATAGTTCCTAAAAGGTACAAAGCTGAGATTCACCCAGCTGCTCCCAGGCCAGAGTTGTGGATGGGATGTCAGTGGGACCCAGGCGGGTACAGCCAGCTTTCAATAGAGCTGGTCTGTGAAAGCTGGCTGAGAGGACAGAGGATGATTGAGGTTTGCTCCAGAGTGGGGCTGTCAGCTGTGCGCACCACCTCACCAGGCTCACAGCTGTAAACAAAAGTCCTGGCCCTTCATGGCACTGCGGAGCAGTCCAGGCTGGTGTAAGTCTCTGAGGACAGCTAGACCATTTTCTCATCCTGGATGACAATCAGGAGACAGAAGAAACAATAGAAGGTGGTGGTGGTGAGGGACAGAATTGCAAGGGGTGAGAAGGAATGACCAACCAGTAGGAAGAAGTTGTCAATTTCAGATCTTAGCTCTTTGGATACAGGTAATCAATATCTTGTGATAGCAGACCACCTTCCTTGTGTCAGATTCACAGGTAATAGTGAGTTACTAGAGGAGGACTTCATAGCCTCTAGTGCAGTGATGACGAACCTCTCAGAGCTTTTAATAGCAAACAACATGCATACCATATGTTCACCACCACTGCTCAAATGCATCCTTCATTCTTTGGCTAGGAAGAAAAGGTACCAGGCATTCCAGGTGAGGACTAAATTATTAGGAAAAATGAAGCCAGCTTTGGCTAAGGCAGAAGATTAGTTACCAGAGACTATCTCTACTTCACATAGCCTCATAGTCCTCACTATGACTAACCCAGACTCAAATCTCCCTTTAAATGTCACTTACTTAGGGAGGCCTTCTCTGGTCTCTAGGATCAAGTTAAGGGCCTTGCTTTATGCTCTCATAACACCCACTACTTTCCCCTTTCCAAAACACCACCTCTTTCTCCTGATGATCAATTTTTTTCTCTATACAATTTGTTCTCCACAATGCAGTTAGATTTTTTTTTTTGCAAAATGCAGATCTTTTCCTTTGAAACTTTCTTACCCCTCGTGCCTTCCTGTCTGCCTTGTTGGTCTTTCTGTTCCTTTTCCTGTTTTTTTTTTCTTCAGGTTAACTCTCCCTAACTCAGGGAAGCTTTCCAGTGACATCCTCTTTGCTAACTTTTACTAGAACTATGTTGGGTCTTTCTCTTACATATTTCATAATATTTGCATGTTTTTCCATTTTCCTGTTCTCCAACAACTTAGTTCCAGTTTGTCTACCCCTCCAGAATATAAGCCCTCTGAGGGCAGGAGGTGTTTTTTTCTTACTGTGTTTCTCCTGTATTTGGTAGTGTCTGGCATTTTGTGGTAGAAACTGTAAAAAAAAAAGTTGTGAATGAATCCAAAGGCGATAAGGTGATATTGGTAGGTGAAAGCGAGCCTCAAAAGATTGATCTTAAACTTACGTGCAAATAGAAACCTTTAAAAGTTTTCAATTGTGTGAGGAAGAAATCATGAGAGAACATTGACTTTAAAAAAAAATTCTTTTTTGGAGGTTCTGGGGATCAAACCCAGGACCTTATACATGCTAGGCAAGTGCTGCCCCACTTGCCACCCAGAGAACATTGGCTTCTAAAAAAATAAAACAAAACAAAATAAAAACAATCAAAACACCGAAAACACTAACCTCAGCTTACCTCAAACTCTTTTCTCCCAATTATCACATCCATTCCCTCACTGTTCCTCCACCAAAAAGCACAAAAAAATCTTAACGTATTGGTCCTCCTAACCTGAGAAATTTGGCAGTATAGTCAAATATATTTACTTCCGCATGTGCAGTTGTTCATTCAGCCAGTGTTTATTGCCCATCTCCATTGTTCCAAGAACAGTACTTCTTCCTGCTTTAATGCTGCTCACCATTGAGTGAACCTTTTGTATTGATCACTCATTTGATAGCTTCAAATTTCTGATGAAAGACTTTACCTTACATTGATTCATAAGAGAGAATTTTCTGGGTATTAGAGCCTTTAAAGAACCTCAGTTTCAGGAGTAGAACCTCTGTAAAACTGGTGCTTCAGTCAGACTCAAGCAATGGATACTTATGCCAATCTCACCAGACTTTTTCCTCTTCCATGTAGAGGTTAAATGGCCGGGTAGAGAATATGTGGAAGGGCTTCAGGGAGTTAATATCCCTTAACCTTATTGGACTGATATTAGTAATGCAAATAGGCCACCAAGGTGTACCTCTTATGTAAAGCAGGGTAGAGAAACTAAAGGAAAGACAGGAAGTGGAATTGGATTTCTCAGTAAAATAGAGCAGCTACCCTATATCCCAAGGAGGGTTGAAACTAGAATGTAGCTCCAGGAAATCTTCCAAAGAAAGTAGTCCTCATTCTAGGGTACATGTTAGTGCCAGGGGATCGATTTCTTTTCAACTTTGATTAAGTTTCAGGTGGCTAGGAAACTAGCAAAGTAAGACTCCAGGCAGTGCACACGTACCCCTCACACATCTCTTACTTCCTTGCTTCAAGAAAGGGTAAAGTGAAGAAATGGATACTATTTTGTACCTTCATTAGTAACTGCATATCTGTTGGTTGAAGAATAACATCAGACATGGTATTTGTGATGCTTTGAAGGCATATTTCATTAGCTTTGAACGTCTCTCTCTCTCCCTTGAATCCTTTATCCTGAACATGACTCAACCATGAGAATATTAGGAAGGGGAACTATATAAGTAGCATATAGAAAAAATGAGACTGATTTCTGTGATTCATTGTTTTCTGTTTGGTGGCTTTAGATGCAGAGGTTTCATAAACCTAAAATTTGAAATCCTAATGACATGGGACAGGAAAGGTTAATTTCAAAATAAATTGAGTTGATCAAAACAAAACAAGACCAAAGCCGAAAATCAATGAAGAACATTTTATAGCATGATAATGATATATTAAGGAGAAACTATATTGTCTCTTTCCTTAAAGGACTGCCTTGAAGCTTAGGCCAACCAAATGATTATAACAGTTTATGTTTATACTGTGAAAGGCTAAAATAAGTATAAATCTGAGGAATTCATAAATTCATAATGAAATTTTGGTAAAGGAGACCCTGCATTTCTAGAATTGGAACTAAGCATGGCCTTTTTATATCTGTAGTATTATCCTGTTGCCAAGATTTGTGTAATTCCCTTTTCTATGGGAACTGTAGACACCTCATAAGGGTGTCAATCAAGTGATGAGCAAGGCAGAGGTTGAGGACTGAATGGTTGTCACAGGAAGAATTTCTTCTGATGCAAATTACCTTACCCATGCATCTGTTGTAATCCGTGAGCCAGAGTAGTCCCAAGTAAAGCTCTGTGGCTAATACATGATGGTAGACTCAAATATTCTACTTTCTATTCTTTCACAGTTTCAACTAATTTGATAAAAGAAGTTAAGTTCTGGGCTTTGCCTCATCAAACCTTCAATATCCCTGTGTTGTCTGAAGAGACAGGATTAAATGATCTGAGGCAGGCCCTTCCAGTTCTGTTGGGCCAGTTTTTAGAATTCTAAGATATTTTGATCTGTTGAGCCAGTTGTCTTTTGGGAAATCTTACAAGATAATAGTTTTCTAGTAAAGCTAACTGTTTTTGTTTCTCTATGTGGGAAGAGTGGTGAGTATTACATATAGTCAAGATAGTAAGTGTGTTATTATGTCCATAGTCCCAAGCATTTTGCTCTTCTGATAGTCAGGGCTATCTTTATAACCTGGAATTTGCTTCTGTCACTTAACCTCTCTGAGCCTCATTTCCTTACTTCTTACATGAATATGTGCTTGACTTACCTCAAAGATTGCTTTGAGGATGGCATGGCAATTAAATACTTTGCAAAAAAAAAAAAGTGCAAGGTCACCTGGATAGTATGGTCGTTCATGACACAACCCTTTCCAAAGGAAGTATAGTTGATGCGAACTAGCACTGCAACTAGGTGGTCAAAAATTTTTTTTGAAGAGCTGTAGTGCTCATTACTTTAAAAATTACGTGGCAAACACTAATTTATTTCATGCTGTGGGTGTGATATACAAGATAAATACATTATAAACCCTGGCCTCAAACTAGTATTTATGCTCATGTTCAAAACTCATATGTAGTATATGTGTGTGTCCAGAAGACAACTACAGTATACCTCTGTTTATAAACTTAATTTGCTTTACAATTTTGGGGAAGATGGCTGCATTTGTGCTCAGGAGGGGAAGATGTCCATTGTCATGTATGTAACCTCATGCAGAATTTGTGAATGGAAGCAAATTTGCTGAATACTTTTGTTTACAAACCGAATTATTTGCGAACAGAAGTATTCCTGAACTCGGGCATATCTGTATAATCATGCAAGTGTATAGATTATGAGATATAATTAATACATGTGCTGAATGTTTAAATTTTTTAAAAATTATTACAGTAAGGACACATTGCCATTAATCTCCCTCCGTATATTCCCTTCACTTACAGTACACTTATCCCGTCATTCTTGTCACTTTCTAAAGCAGTTCTGAAAGTCTTCCTCAATGTCATTGCACGGTATGATCAAAACTATGATGAATGCTGCTGCTGAGTGCCATACAATGGATAAGCAGGCTTATAAAAGTATTACAATGTGTGCTCATCCACCTTATTCACTGGATCTGGCACCAGGTGACTTCTGGCTCTTCCCCAGTGCCAAAATGACAATGAAAGGTAAAGGTTTGGATTGATTCAGGATGTTGAGGCAGCCACAGTGTCCAAAGAAGACTTCTAGAACTACTTGAGAAAGTGGCAAGAATGATGGGATAAGTGTGTACAAAACTAGGGGGAGTGTTTTGAGTGGTAATGTGTCTCTGAATGTAATAAAAAATTAAACATTCCCCTTATATTTCAGCCACACTTCATATGTATAGAATATCATTGGATAGCCTAAATCTGTCTGAATGTTGGAGGGGCAGGGGTTTGAGAATGCTTCATAGAAGACACGATGTCTAGCTAGTCTTGACAGATAAGTATAAGTACCTCTGGTGGAAGAGGTCAGTGGAAGAATTTAAAGGCTAGGGAACAGCTATCACAAAAACAGAAGGCATTAGACAGAATCAGTTTCTGAGTTCAGGATCCTGTGGGTGGAATAGCATGCAAAGTGCAGGATTCATTTAAGGAAGTGAAGGGGATATGAGAGAAGAGGGTGGAGGCACTGGCAGAGGCCAAAGAAGAAGATCCCTTGGAGGCCAATTTAAGATACTTGAACTGTTCCTTGAGACATGGGAGGGGGCCACTGAAATGTCAAAAACAAGGAAGTGTCAAAAACGTACTGTATTATAGCAGTCTATTTATGATCAAATTGATACTAGTGTGGAGGGTAGGAAACCATACTGGAATCAGTGGTTGAACAAAGATGAAGTCAGGAAGGATAGGGAAAGAGGAAGTGATTTCATAAATATTTCGAAAGTGTACTCAACAGGAGTTGGTGATTGATTTTGTCTGAGGTCTGTGGAAGAAGTTGTCAAGGATGACTCCCAGGTGTCTGCTTAGATGACTATGTGTGTAGAAGTACCGCGCATCAAGGTTTGAAAGATTGTAAGATGAAGTGGGAAAGAAAGTTTGAAGGATTTTATGTGCTGTTTGGCTCTGAACTTGTTGAGTGGATGGAGCCAGTAATTTGAGAATCACCAGCATGCAGTATCCCAGCCATAGAAATAGTTGAGAACAGCCAAGCAGAAGATATACAGTGAGAAGCAATGAAGTCCAGAGATAAAATCCTGGAGAATAAGAAATGGTCAGAGGGACAAGAGAAGAAATTAGAGAATGAAAATCAGGAGAGAAGAGAATTTTAAAGTAGCTATGATGGCTTAACATGTTATGAGAAATTATGAGAGATAAGGACAGAAGAGCATTGATAACATAGCAATTAAGAACATACTGTGAGAAAAATGGAAAAAGCACTTGGAGAGTGGGTATGGGGAAGAAAGATTATAGACTGCAGTGTGTTAAGGAGTAAATAGTTAAGGATGTAGAAATGGCCATATCTTTTAAGAAACTTGGTGGTAAACAGAAGAAGGGCTGTAGGTCAGTGTCTAGAGAGAAATTCAAGGTCAAATGGAGTTTTTATTTTTCATTTTGGATAAAAAGAGGTTCAGAGAAATTAATCAGTTTTCCATGGTGATATAGTTTTTATGTTACACGATGGTAAAAATAATTCAGTGCCAGTGACAAGGATTAAAATGTACGAGGAGTGAATCTAGCATGAACTTTTGAGTATGGCCTCAGCAAACTGACTCACAAAGTGCAAATTTGAAGTTCCAAAGAAGACCCTGTGATAGAAATTTGACAGGTGTAGAAGAGAAATTATGATGATGTAGTTTGCTTGTGCAATAACTAATTTGAGTACTAACTATGTTCAGGGTTCTGAGTTAGGCACTTTACCAGCATTATCTAATTTATTTCCCACAGCAGCCCTTTGAGGTAGATTCTGTTATTACTTTCATTAAACAGATGTGAAAACTAAAGCACACAAGAGTTTAGTAATTTGCTCAAGGCTGGAAGGTTATTGCATGCTGGATCTTTGAGGCTTTAAATGGCCCTTTAAGGAGGAAACTTAGGCTGAGGGAAGTGAAGTAATTTTTCCAAGAACCTATGTCCCATAAGTGCTGGAATTGTGATTCAAACCCAGGCTCTGTTTGGTGCCAAAGCTACCACATTGTCTTAATCAACACAGTCATGAATGGAAGCTATAAAATAATATGTCTATTTCTCTAGATCCAGCTCTCTAAGGCAACATGCTTCCCTAATGTAGGTGCTGGTAAGCACCTTATTCTACAGAATTGATACTGAAAGCTTATACTTCTGTTATAGTGTACCACATGCATGGGATTTGTAGACAGCTTCATAGTGAAAAGCAGAAGCTGCAAAAAACAAGGCTACCCAGGAGAGCCGACGATAGTTGAATTCTCATGATATCTTCAGGTGGCTCCTTCACGGCACTTTGTCATTCTTCCATGGAGAGAATATTGAGGGTACAATGGCTCAGATACCCTTCTTCCTCCTGCATAAAGTTTGCTAACAAACTGTTCTGATGCCATCAGCCCACATTGGTAGAATATAAATATTATTCGAATTGTGAAGTGTGTTATAGCAAAGAGTGACAGGCTAGGAAGAGCAGCTTACTTGCTGTCCCTTCAGAGAGGGCTTTTCTAGCAGGAACAGCATAAAGAGCAGCGGTGGATTACAGATGGTTGTACTGCTAAAATCCTAAAATCCCCACTATTGTGCCTACTTGTCACTACCAGTTTTCATCTGGTGATTGGTTTTCGAAATAAGATTGATACTAGTCTTCATATGTGGATTATTATTGTTTCATTCATTCAGTGATGCAATTTACAAGGTTTTTCTGTCTTCTTAACTTCATTTCTGTTACACCAAGGATGTGCTCTGCATGTGTGTGTGTATGTGTGTGTGTGTGTGTGTGTGTGTGTGTGTAAATTCTGTGGTTTTATAAACTCCCAGAAATGTTTTTCTGCAATAAATAAACTAATGTAAAAAAAATGAACAGAAATGTGGTATATGATAAAGCAATTGCTAGGTCATGCTTTTATTCTATATACATATATTGATACCAGAAGCCATGTAGGCTAACAAGTTGTGTGAAATGCAGTATCTTCCCCCAAAGAGGTTATTCTGTGTTTCTTCTATTGAACTAATGATAGTACTACTTATACTACTTGGCTTCCTAATTCCCAAATGGTTCCCATGATTTATTGATTCGGTGACATTAACAAAACAGTCTAATGAGATCATTAATCCCAACATAGGTCAAACTTAAGATTTTGGTAGCTAGAAATGATGAAATATAAATAAGAAATCCAATACTGATAATAAATTAAGAGTAGGGAGAGGCAAATGAGGGCATATATAAAGATTCTCAGATTCTAGACAAAGTTGAGATATTACCATTGCTCCGTGAAGAGAAAAAATAACTTTAAATCAACTTAACATTTTAAATAGAAGAGTACTTGTTCTTTGGTGATAGGTAAGGAAATGCTTATGGGAAAAAGTTAAAGGAATAAATTTCATTCACCACTCTTCTTCCACAGAGAAAGATTTTTTGGCTTTGCCTATAAATTCTGGGAGGAAGAGGCTCTAGAGGTGTATTAAGGGGAAAGAGGAAGACAGAACACTGGTTTTCCAGAGAGCAGAGCAAGCTCAAAGAAGATGGAGGTGCTGGTAGCCTTAACAACTGAAGATGTAAAGCACTTTCTATGGAAAAACATCTATAAACTATGTAACTCATTAAATATTAATAAATTAATGAAAACACTTGTAACACTTTAGGGAGATTTTGCCCATTTAAAATGCTGTTTTAAATCTTAAAATCATTTCAGATATGATTCATCAGGAAATAATGTGGATCTCTTGATGAGTGAGTACGACAAGAATGATGATAAATGGAATGATCTCCAAAAAGCCTCATATCACTTCTTGGAATTCACTATGGTAAGAAGGGTATAAGTTTAAGAATTCTGTGATTGAGTATGTTGCTAGATGTCAGATGTCCTCAGCGAGACCTAGCACTCCTCTTGCCCCTGTATGTATGTGAAAAGGGTAAGGAAAATGAAAAACATTTATACCTGATTCCTTTTTTTTTCTCATTTATACCTGATTCTGACACTATGTATCACCCTTCTCTACCTAGGGGCTCCAATGGGAGGGATAGTACCTTTCACCTGGCATTGCCTCTGAGTAGTTTTGTGAGTTCCTTTGGCTATTATGTTGGTTGGTACTTTGGCTTCTTTGGTTCCCAGCACCAGCTGATGCCCTGATCTGAGTCCCAGTTGGGCAGGCTCTATTGCTCAGTTATGTAGCTGTCTCCAGGGCATTGTTCTTGAGACTTCCAACAGGGCAGATTTGTGCAGTTGGCCCATCTGGACAAGATCTATAACAAGTAGGTCTCTGTGCAGTAAGCTCATCTCCATAGTCCACCCCCCCTACTGCCACCCTCACCCCCCCCCGTTCGGGCTGCAGCAGCCTGACACCCCAGATCCACCATAGAGAGTATCAAAGAGATACTCTCTCCTCCTTTCAAAGGAGTATTGCTAGTGGTCTCTCATTGATTGGCACTACCTGTGCAGAAATGGGAAAGCAGGGGCTCTCTGCCCTTCTCAATTCAATCTCCTTTAAGCCAGTTTTAAAATTTTAATCTTCTTGGCATCAGCATGATAATACCACCATTAAAAATAATTTCTAGACCTTCCCTGAATGCTCTCCTCAAATCCAAGGAAACAAGAGGACTATCTCAGTGAATAAGAAAGAACAGACAAGCTCAATAGGAAAAGGGGGAAAGAAAGCTGAGCTTTTAGTTTGATTACTTTGACCATTGTTCTGTTGACTTTCAATTTGGAACACCCTGAAGTGAGCG